CTTCTCCCTCTTTCTTGCTGGGATCTGCAGCAGATTGCCAGTGGGGCGGGGCGGGGGGCACAGGTGAACTTAGCTAGCTTACACGTGGGGATGGTGGAGGAGGGCGTTGCAGGCAGGGGCTCCTGCTTCAAAGGGGTGAACTAGCCCCTCTTGTTCAGGGCCTCCCATGCTGTTGAGTAGGGCTGCGACCCTGCGGCAGGTGTAGAGAATGGGGCGGGAGTGGAGAAGGTGAGGCTGGGACAGGCCACGAGGACCAGGTCATGGGGAGTCCTGCAGGCCTTGCCAAGAAATTTGGACCTCCTTCAGTGGGTGACTCTGTAATGTTCTCCTGTGTCACCATCTGCCTCCGGAGAGGGAATCTTTGGGTCAGGAAGCACACAGGGCTCCTGCTGAAGCTTCTGGGCCAGCTCTGCATGTGCTGCCTAGGCAGTGAGCTGCAGTATTTGCCAAGCCAAAAAGAATGACAATCTCAGGCCTGCTGGGATGTTTCTCTTTTGTTTACTTACCTAATTTAATTTATCTTTTCTTGCTTTCTAGTAGTGGGGGAGTCTGGAAGAGAAGGATTCCTTCCTTCCTTCCTTCCTGCCTGCCTGCCTGCCTTTTTTCCTTCCTGCCTTCCTTCCTTCCCTCTCTCCATCTCTCCCTCCCTCCCTCCATCTTTCCTTCTTTCCTTCATTTACTTGACAGGCAAGAGTTACAGACAGACAAAGGGAGAGACAGAGAGAAAGGTCTTCATCCACTGGTTCACTCCCCAAATGGCTGCAACAGCCTAATCCAAAGCCAGGAGCCAGGAACTTTTTCTGGGTCTCCCATGCTGGTGCAAGGGTCCAAGCACTTGGGCCATCTTCTATGGCTTTCCCAGACCATTGCAGAGAGCTGAATCAGAAATGGAACAGCCACCGGAACTCAAACTGGTACCCATATGGGATACTGGTACTACAGGCAGCGGCTTTACCCTCTATGCCACAGTGCCAGCCCAATTAAGCATTCTTTCTTGGCTAAGCCTGGTTATCACCAAGGCTTGGGTGCTTATTTCTAGGAGACAGCTCTTACCTCTGCGAACAACTCCAGGCACAGGCACAGGCACAGGCACAGGCACCTCCCACACACTTCCGGTAGCATGTTGGTCTTGATGCAGAGAGGTAGGATTTCCCCCGAAGCCAAGGTTACCAGGAGCTGACTCCAGAGCCCTCCCAGCCTCCTGAAGTAGGGTATGGGGATTAGCACGAGGTCCATCGCAAACAGCCATCCTGTGTACAGTGATGGGATCAATGGGAAGAGTGGCTGGGGGATCCGAGGCTTGAGCTGCTAGCGAGACTGACAGGGTCTGGAGGAGATGGGCTGTGGGAGCGTCTGAGTCGGGAGCTAGGTGGCCGGTGTGATTGACGGAACACCATCTTTTGTTGAAACGGTGAATGACAGACTGGATCACTGGACTTAGTTATTTGGTAGACATTTTCTCAAAAACGAAGGGAGCCTGACATTTCCAGGAGGGCTGACAGGACTCTCGTTGTCAGTGACAAACATGGAGCTATCTGTCACAGCCAGTAAGTTCCTGATACGGTGCTGGTTTCCGTGTTCACCTGGAAGAAACTCCCATTTGTGGAGTTTTGGTATAGTATCACAAATATCTAAAACATCATTTAAAAATGCCTCTGTTTTCCAAATGGCTTAAGTGCATGAGCCTGGATTTTCTTCATACACGAGGGTACTTGAGAAAGCTAATGGAAAAGTGTTATTAGAAGAAAATTTTGCTTGGAGATGAAAATTTTGAGGTCTATGCATCTTTTTTCAATAGAATATTTATTTAATCTACCTGAAAGGCAGAGAGATGGAGACTGACACTGCCCATCTGCTGGTTTACTGCCCAAAGGCCTGCAGTAGCTGGGGCTGGGATTCAGTCCAGGTCCCCTCCATGGGTGACAAGAACCAAACTTCTGGAGCCATCACCAGCTGCCTCCCACGGTGTGCATTAGGAAGCTAGAAGTGAGACTGGAGCCGGGACTCAAACCTAAAAAGGGGTGTAGCCCTCCCAAGTGGCGTTTTTACCACTGTGTCCAATGCCCACCCGCATCTTTCTTCATAATACCCATTTTTTGTGAACTTTTTGAAGACCCCTTGTATTTCAGCTCAAACAACATACAGCCACAGGCGCGCCATCTTAAAGAGGTTGACAAAAATGGAAAGGAATGCTACTCTTCTCCCTAGATTTTTTAAATAAAATAATTGTGGTTCATAAACTGTATTAATATGGGGGCTGGCACTGGCCTAATGGTTAAGACACCAACTAGAATGACTGTGTTCCACATCTGAGTACATGGGTTCAATTCCCTGCCCTGGCTCCCAACTCCAGCTTTCTGCTAATGCACACCTGGGAGGCAGCAGGTGTGCTGCCTGGTGGCCCTGGTGGCTCAAGTAAATGGGTTTCTGCCATCCATGTGGGAGATCTGCACCGTGTTCCTGGCTCCCGTCTTCGGTCTTGGCCCAGTCCTGACCAGGTGGACACTGGGGAGTGAACCAGTGGATGAGAGCGTGTTTCTCTCTCTCTTTCTGTGTGTGTGTGTGACTCTTCCACCTCCAATGTTAATACGTAGTAGGCTTATTTTTAATTTACAGTAAGTTAATATATTTTTAGTTTTCGGTTTTAATTTCTAAAATGATATCAATATATAACACATATAAGCAAAACCTCCCTGGGGTCCTCAGGGATTATTCACGAGTATAAAGAAGCCTGAGGCTAACAAGTTTGAAAACGGTTGTTCGGCAGCATGGTTTGCTCAGGTCTTCTCTCTACATTTAGGATCTTAATTTGAATCTCAGTTACATCTTGTCCCATCGATGGTGTCCCTAGAGGCGCGCTTGTCGGAAACCTTTGGAAGGTGGCTCTGTCATCTGGGACGTAAATGAGCCTCCGTCCGTAGCGTCACTTCCTCTGTCGTGCTGTCCAGTCATTCATGAGTGCCTTATCTGTGTGGAAATTCTGTCTCTCTCTCCATCCCGGCCGGGTGACGGGTGGTTTCAGTTGTTCTCCTTATTCATCTCTATGGCTTCTGGAAATATGTGGACTCGGTTTTAGGCAGCTGTGGTTGCCCACAGGAATCTGGGGTCTCTTTATGCCTCAGATGAATAAAAGTATTGCTTCTAAAAACTGCTCTCTGTGTATGGATTTTGGCTCCCAGGTACGCAGATGCGTGCACACCTGTAACGTTTGCTGCTGACGAGTCGGGACAAGAAATGGTAGCCGGCGCCGTGGCTCAATAGGCTAATCCTCCACCTTGCGGCGCCGGCACACCGGGTTCTAGTCCCGGTTGGGGTGCCGGATTCTGTCCCGGTTGCCCCTCTTCCAGGCCAGCTCTCTGCTATGGCCAGGGAGTGCAGTGGAGGATGGCCCAGGTGCTTGGGCCCTGCACCCCATGGGAGACCAGGAAAAGCACCTGGCTCCTGGCTCCTGCCATCGGATCAGCACGGTGCGCCGGCTGCAGCGGCGGCCATTGGAGGGTGAACCAACGGCAAAAGGAAGACCTTTCTCTCCCTGTCTCTCTCTCTCACTGTCCACTCTGCCTGTCAAAAAAAAAAAAAAAAAAAAAAGAAATGGTGACTCACTTTGGAAACCTGCTTTTTTCTGACATTGTGCCCTTTCTGTTTACATCTTCAGACTCTTGAGTTGGAGAGGAATTGTCCAGGGCCAGTCCAGCTTCTGCCTCCAGGCCTGGGAGCGGAGGAATGTTCTCATCCTTCTCTTGCACCGTGTGCATTTCATGCTCGCCGTGGCCCATGCCTGTCTTTCTTCCTTTCCTTTGCACTGTTGGCTATGGTAGAAACCAGTGTGTCTCAGGACCGCAGCTCACAGAACAGCGGAGAGCACAGGGAGGAGAGGAAAACGTCTCAGCCCTCACAGTCAAGCACAAGCTCCGCCAAGCGAGGGAGCCATTCCTAGCGTCCCAGGTTGTCTCAAGCATTTGTCTAGCATTACTCGCCTCCTTGCTCGTTTATTTGATTATTTCTTAAAATGTATTTATTTATTTGAAAGGCAGAGCTAGAGAGAGAGAGAGAGCGAGCGAGCGTGAGCGAACAATCTTCCATTCACTGATTCTTTCCCCCCAGATGGCCGTAACAGCCAGGGCTGGTCCGGGCTGACCAGGACCAGGAATCCCATGGGTGCAGGGGTCCAAGCACTTGGACCATCTTTCGCTGGTTTTCCAGGATGCATTAGCAGGGAGCTGGATTGGAAGCAGAGCAACCAGGACTCCAACCTATTGCAGCACAACGCCAGCTCCTTCCTTCATAATTTAACGCCCACCACCAAAGCAAGCCCTCCACATCTCCGGCACTCAGTTCTTGCTTTTCTGTCCGCCAAGAGCACTTCTGTCGTTTGTCCAAGAACACACGTGTCCCAGTTTGCGCCCTTTCTGGAAGCTGAAGGCTGCTCTTGCAGAGGTGATAGCAGGTGACGGCACCCTACCCACACCAAGTTATATTTTACATTTTCGTCTCCTGTCAGAATTCCCAGAGATCTAAAATGGGAAATGCAGTGACCTTGGCTTAGAAGTAGTTTCTCTGGGCATTGTAGCTGGAGGACCCTAAGCTGGTCACTTACGTCTCAGCAGCCTCACCCTGCTGCTACTCAATGTCCCTTGCAAACCTGATCACGTTGTACATGTTCCGGGTGTGATGCAGCGTGGGTAGCACTGGGTTGAAGGACAAGATTTCCCTGCGTGGTCTGCTCTCAGTGAAGGCACAGGAATCTCTCACATGCGGTCCCCGCGGCCTGAAAAAGAGGAGCAATATTATCGTGGGCGGACCTGAGCTGTGAGACCTTCAGAAACCTCCTTAGCCTTGCTAAGCCTCAGTTGTCTGTAAAATAGAGATGATAGTAACTCCGCAGCAACAGTAACTCTCTCCGGGACAGGCATTTGCTGCAGCAGTGACGATGTCTCTGGAGACGTCTGCATCCGTATCAGAGTGTTTGGATTTGAGTCCCGCTGTGCTCTCAATTCCAGCTTCCTGCGAATGCACACCCTGGGAGGCAGCAGAAGATGGTTCAAGTACGTGGGTCGAAGACCTGGATGGACTCCTGGCTCTTGGCTTCAGTCTGGCTTAGCTCTTGCAGGTATTTGGGGAAGTGAACCAGCGCTCTACTTTTCAAATAAAATAAATAAATGGGAAAAAATAGTAGCTGTCTCCCAGGGTAGCCGTATGGACCCCGGGGGACGCTGATGGTTGCAGCTCAGTAAGAGCAGCTGCTAGCTTGTTAATCACACACTCTCCCTGCACTGGGTTGTCAGAGGCGAGTCTGGGCCTGCGGCCTGGCTGCTCCCGTGCTTGATTTCACTGATGATAGAGACTGAGTTCGTTCGAACATCTCCCTAAAAACAACCATCACAGCTCAGAAAAGGAATCTGAGGGGCTTGAAAAGGAGGCAGAGCTTTGTGTCACATGTGGAGCTGTCAGTGCACCTGAGTGGGGCACCCAGGGGTTCCATGGTGTGGAGTCCCTTAGGCTTCTTGGAGGCCTGGACACTGTTCAAACAGATCTTCTGCCGGCACCACGGCTCACTAGGCTAATCCTCTGCCTTGTGGCGCCGGCACACCAGGTTCTAGTCCCGGTCGGGGCGCCGGATTCTGTCCCGGTTGCCCCTCTTTCAGTCCAGCTCTCTGCTGTGGCCAGGGAGTGCAGTGGAGGATGGCCCAAGTGCTTGGGCCCTGCACCCCATGGGAGACCAGGAGAAGCACCTGGCTCCTGGCTTCGGATCAGCGCGGTGCACTGGATGCAGTGCGCTGGATACAGTGTGCCGGCCGCGGCGGCCATTGGAGGGTGAACCAATGGCAAAAGGAAGACCTTTCTCTCTCTCTCTCACTGTCCACTCTGCCTGTCAAAAAAAAAAAAAAAAAAAAGAAAAGAAAAGAAAAAGAAAAAAAAAGAAAAAAACAGATCTTGCCCTGCACCGAGCTGCTGGGGAAGGAATAGGGCCCGAGCTGCCTCACAAGAACTGGGGGCCTTGTTGCCTGGTGTTCCCGTGGTCTGTTTCTGGATAACAGGTTGCCTGAAAATTTAGTGGCCCCAGACAGCAGTGGTTTATTATGTCTCAGATTCTATGTGTCAGAAAATTCACGCAGGGCTCGGCTGCAATGGCTGTTGTGTTCCACGTGGCGGCAGCTGAATCTCTCAGTCTGCAGCATTCAGGTGGCGACTGGGCTGGAAGGTTCTAGAAGACTTTGCTTACTTCTGTGGCACCTTGACCTTCCTCTAAGTGGCTTCAGTCCACTTGTGGTCTCTCATTCAGAAGTTTGGCCCCAGTTTCTTTTTCTTCCTTTCTTTCAAGAGCCAGAGAGACAGAGACACGGGCAGACAGAGCTCCCATCCACTAGTTCACTTCCCACATGCCCCCAGGAGCTGGAGCTGGGCCAGGCCAAAGCCAGGAGCTGAGAACCCAATTTGGGTCTCTCATATGGGTGGCAGGAGTCCAATTACTTGAGCCTTCACTTCTGTCTCCCAGAGTACAGATTAACAGGAAGCTGGAACCCAAGTGGAGGCAAACCCAGACACTAGTATAGGATGTGGTTGTCCCAACCAGCTTCATAACCTCTAGGCCAAACACCTGCCACAGGCCCACATCTCTTGACCACAGGTGGCTGGCTTCCTCAGAGAGCATGGGACCAGCCTTTCTTGATGTCCTCAGAAGAGTGAGGGCCAGAGTAAAACTCATTCCATTGGTCAGAATAAATCACAGGGCTAGCTCATATTCCAGGGAAGAGGAGGTAGACTGTGCTTCTTGGTGGAAGGAGCGGTGTAGTATGCACCTTCAAACGCGGCGAGGCATTGAGCGTGGCCACCGCTGGAGACCCGGCACCATGCACGGTGAGCTGTGAACGTTAGGGGAAGGGAAAGAAATGACCCTTTCACCCATCGTCCTCAGGCTCTGGTTGAAGGAAGGACAGTTTCAGAACAAAATCGCAGTCTCCTACCCAACCCCAAGAGAACCCATTCTTGACACTCTGACAGTCAAGGGTTGAAAGTAAAAGTCAGAGAAAAGACTGTAATAATAAGGGCACAGTATGACACTGAAGGAGTGGGGCCACCTGGCTTGGGATTTTGATGAAAGAAGTACAGCCCTGGCCAGGAGCAGCCTGCTTCTCTCAGCGAGAGCCATGTGAGCCGGTGGGGGAGCCACGTGGCCGTGGAGGGAATGGGCTGAGGTCAGTGAAGTCACGGGTAGTGATGTACACGTGGCCGGGAGGAACCCTGGGGATGCGGCGACCCTCTTCAAGGGGAGCAGTAGCAGGCTGTCTGCAGCTGAGGTGGGGCCACCAGATGGCGGTGTGGAGATGGCCTTGGAGGCTGTGAAAGCGGATCCCTCAGTACGGCTGCCCTGTGAGCTCAAGGGAAACAGTTCTGGACGCTGCTGGAGGCCTTGATGGCCGCCTGCACCGCTCTCCCTCCGCTGTCTCCCAAGGCAGGAAGCCCCTTGCCTTTAAGGGAGCACTTGTCATATTCTAGAGCTGAGCGCACCTCTTGTCACTGAACCAGTGCCTTTGAATTTCACTAAGGCAACCTCCATAAGGAAGCAGCCCTTCTTATAGGATGCGTGGCTGTTCTCTGAACAACTCACACACAGCCTGAGACTCAGCAGTCGTGGGTACAGGCCCACCATGGCTGAGAGTCAGGGGCGTTTTGCTGAGTTGAAGAAGTCAGACTCAAAAGACTACTTACGTAATAGTGTGCTTATAGATTGGCCTGATGAAGACCAGACGGGTGATGGAGGTGGGGGTGGAGGGAAGGTGTGGGTGTAAAGGGAGAGTGTGAGGGGGTGTGTGGGTGTCAGTGCTGTGAGCATCCTGACTGTGGTGGGCGTTGCCTGTACACGCCTGTGCATGGGTTGAAATGCATAGAACTGTGCACTGCTCCCCGGAGGTCAATGTTACCAGAAGGTTTTTAAAAAAATGGCTCCACTATCATCAGTAAGATTTTGGCTCCCATATGTCATAGCCTCCTCTATGGCTGAGGGAGGGCAATCTCCCGACCTACTCCCTGTCTTCAAGAGCAAAATGAAGAAGGGTGAAACATTGTGGCACACAAGGGTTTTTGAAAATGCCGCCTTTCCAGGTTTTGCAAGGAAAACGAAAGTTAGCCGCCAGAGGGGAAAGTGGTAAAGGAGAAAAAAGAGAAGGTGGGAGAGGCTTTCAAATTATTTTTATAATGAGTTATTTTGTTTTAAAAATACTCATTTATTTGAAAGGCAGAGAGAAAGAGAGATGGAGAAAGAGATCTTCTGTCTGCTGGTTAACTCCCTAAAAGCCTACAAAAGCTAGGGCTGGGCCAGGCTGAGCCAAGTCCAGGTAGCTCTCAGTCCAGGTCTCCCACATACGGGGCAAGGACCCAGGTACTTGAGCCATCACCTGGTGGAGGAGGGGAAGAAACGATCCCGAGGGCCTCCCAGCCAGGCAGCCCCAGTCCGGCTGTTGACCGCCTATCCCTTGTGTGAAGGAGGCAATGGGGTATCGTCCTCAGGTGGGTGGGGGCTAAGGTGCACTGAGGCTTGAAATGGGGGTGGTGTGTGGCAAATCCAGGAGGAGTGGCTGTGCTGGTCTAAGTTCCTCGTCTCATCACCAGGAACCTGGAAGCATCCCAGGGGAGTGAGGGGTGGAGGTGGGAGGATTCACTACCCATCATTCCTGTTCAGAGTCACAAATTTCCACGCAACAGTTCATGTGTTTGAATCTTCACAAAGCCCTGCTTTATTATTCTGGTTGAGGAACATGAGGCTCACTGAGAGTGAATGAATTGCCAGTGCCATCCAGTGGCATTGAGATTGCCACTCAGCCCCATCTTGCTCCAAAGCTGGAGTGGCTCCTCCCACACCGCTGCCCCTGAGTGGTGCTGGGGAGGAGCTGGGGGCGGTCTGGGGGCTTTCCCTGCAGAAGAGCCTGTTTGCGCTTACGGTTGAGTCAGTCTCCATTCGACTGCTCAGAGCCAGGGCCTGGCCTCTGGCCTCTTCCCATTTCAGATGGACTCTGTTCACTTCCAAGCCCCTGACATGCTTTACTTATTTAACTTATTTGAGAAGAGAAGAAAGAGAGAAATAGAGAGCACCCCTCTGCTGGTTCACCCCCCAAATACATCTGCTGGGACTGAGCCAAGCCAGAGCTGGGAACTGAACCCAGGTCTCTCTTGTTACTTGTGCCATTGTGGTGCTTCGCAGCGTGTGTGTGAGAGGCAGCGGAATCCAGAGCAGAGCCAAATTCAAACTCAGGCACTCCAGCATGGGATGTGTATGTCCTAACAGGTGTCTTAACTGCTGTGCCAAGTGCCTGTCCATAACTTGCTTTATTTAGTTCTTTATTATGTTAGTGCTTTAATTTTTCTTAAGATTTATGTATTTATGTATATATTTATTTTAAAAATTATTTTATTTATTTGAAAGGCAGAATTACAGAGATAGAGGGAAAGAGAGAGGTCTTCCATCTGCTGCTTCACTCCCCAAATGACCACAACAGCCAGGGCTGGGCCAGACCAAAGCCAGGAGCCAGGAGCTTCCTCCAAGTGTCACACATGGATGACAGGGGCCCAAGGACCTGGGCCATCCTCTACTGCTTTCTCAGACACGTTAACAGGGAGCTGGATCAGGAGTGAAGCCACGGGGACTTGAACCAGTGCCCATATGGGATGCCAGCGCTGCAGGTGGTGCCTTAACCCACTGTGCCACAGCACTGGCCCCGATTTATGCATTTATTTTAGAGTCAGAGTTACATAGAGAGAGAAGGATTCCATCCGCTGGTTCACTCCCCAGATGGCTGTAATGGCCAGGGCTGAGCCAGGCTGAGGTCAGGAGATAGGAGCTTCATCTGGGTCTCCCAGGTGGGTGAAGGATCCCCAAGCACTTGGGGCCATCCTTCACTGCTTTTCCCAGGTGCATTAGCAGGGAACTAGATGGGAAGCAGAGCAGCTGGGACACGAACTGGCACCCATATGGGCTGTGGGCATTGCAGGTGGCAGCTTTACCTACTACGCCACAGTGCCAGCCCCTACATGTGTTAGTTCCAGTCCTCAAAAAAGTATGCTGAGTGGCTATAATTAGCTTCATATTACAGACAACAAAACTGAGACTCAGAG